TCTGTTGATACTATTCCTCACATATTCGACTCCCAATTACTCCTGCGTAAAATGGACTAGCCTCTTCATGTTGACATTCAGACTAAAATCACGTGACAGGCTGTTAAAATTGGCTGTTGCATACTCTTTCGCCGGTCTGGAAAATGTGTTTAATTAACTCACATTCAAGCAACAATGCAGATTTCCCAGTGGGAGTGAGACTATTCAAACTCTGCCACTAAAAAATAGGGGTGTTTTCAGCAAAAAACGAATAACCCTGGAATACACACAATATACTGAATTTCGGAACAAATCGTGCATTACTTACAGCAGCAGAATACCACAGAAATATCAGACGAAACATGAAAACACTATATATTGTATTTCAGCCTGAACCCTCTATATTGCAATTCAAGGAATTAACCCCATATGTGCATCCATTTCCCACCTTGGTATCACCCACCCCTGAAAACAAACTCTTAATACCACGCTGAAGCGTTTGGTAATAAGTTTAAGTTCATCCTATTCTGCCTCTAGATAGCAGGTGCAAGTTGTATTCTATTGTTTTTGTATTGTTTATTTCACCAGAAGAATAGTCTCGAGACTCTAATAGTATCGTGACTCTCTCGCTCTGTGCGAGATTCCGGCCGCCATTTGCGTCTGATATCAGTCAACACATGCCTCTTCTACACGCGATTCGGTACATATTATGTCAAAACTACAGCACTGTAAGACTGGTGGTATATCGACTATCTGGGTGACATTATGTAGATATATAAAGTTCTTCATATTTGTCTCAGGTGTTTATCCATTGGTAGCTGTGACGGGAAAGTGCCTCCAGGTGTCTGTTGTTGAAACATGTTCCCCAATTACCATTCCTGATGCGTTGAAAGGACCGGATACTCCCCATTTCACAGAACCATTTGGTAAGCGATTAAGATACTAGAGGTAACTGTGTATACTAGATTTTTGAGTTTATTACAGCACGGAGATATATTTGACCACAAAAAGAAGGAATCTATACCAAACAACTCAAAACTTTGGTAGAACATTACCTCCATAATTTTCGTTACGCAAAGCCACCATCGTTACCCTAACTTCCAGTTTGTTTAGAATTTGATCGTATCACTGCGAATTACAGTCAGTCAAAATATATCAAACACACTGAAGTTAGTGACAGCTTCATGTATGTTGAAATTAGTTAGACCTGGTTACAGGATAGTCAATTCACCAAAACGAGTGATTTTAAAATAACTATTGGCTTAATTGCATCCTCAAAAAAAAATATGAGGCGCTCTGTAAATAAATAAATGTATATAATTTGCCGGATCTTATTGTAGGTACTATTCAGCATTTGGTTAGCCAAGCGTTTAAATCCACATTAAATGACGAGTTTTTTTTTATTTTCAATCGATTTCTGTATTTCACTACATTGGTGTGCGAAAAAACTTGTGCCACTATATTTACGTTCTTACATTAAAAAGAAGTCCTCAACATAGCTCTGACGAGCTGCTAACACTTTGATCTATTTTTTTCTGTAGAATCGTACAGAATCAATACCACCAATTTCAACACTACACAATTCAATCGCATGCGGAGCCCATGGGGCATTGATTTTATAGAAGAATCTAAACACCCCGATAAAGCCAACATTTTAAAAACTGATACAATAGGTAAGATAAGTTGAATATATATATTTGCCTCTCACTGTGTTATAGTAATTATACCCCGTATATACAACGTTTGTTGTTGTCGTGGTCATATTTGTATTAAATCAATGTTCATGTCACAAATGGACCAGACTTAAACTTTTATGATAGTATGGACTCCGGTTTCTCACCGTGACTAACTATTGCACATTTGTATACCCATCTTTAACCAAAAATATAACCCAGGTATTGTAGACCTTCCATTTTATTGATTGTCTTGAATTATTTCGTGGTGTATTGTGTCAACGTTTATCTTGCGAAAAACATAGTTACATTTTTAAATTTATTTTAATTATTTTTAAACAGAATCCAGTCCAATTCCATTTGTGCAACTTGGAATGCAGAAGGAATTGGATACGTTTGCTGAAATTGAACGACACTCAAAAAAGGGTTACTTGAATGAAGCTGAAATGATTCGTGTCATCCACTCTCAAATTGGTTTCTCGGATCTTCTCGCAAACCCCCTGTTTCGAATAGACCCCGTGTCGAAGGAGCGTGTAAAAGGAATAAATGAATACTTGGTGATGCAAGGATATATGGTAAAAATGTATGAAATAAGCAATGTAATTCCGAATAATCCAAACAAACTCCCCAAGAGATTGGCCGATATTTATAACTACGTTTTGAAACCTTGCTTTAATAACATACAAAACCTTGATTCATTCATATGGACTGGAAGTACGAGTGAGGGATTTGCAATGACCGACCACAGCGTGAAGGAAGATAGGTACATGAATGATGAGATGGATGTAATGATTCCTATCGGGGAAGCACAGGAAGGAATACAACTACACCCTGAGGATGATTCAATGACAAACACAGACCTAGATTTAGAAGCATCAGGACGGGAACTGTTCATAAGCGAACTTGAAAGGGTTGGACATGAAAGCCCGTCTTATGGCGCGCCTTTCAAGTGGGTTCCAACCTCGTTTCCTGGTTATGTCAGAGTTGAGGCCAATGATGAATCGAAAATTGATTTCAGTGAAGGTTTCATTCATAACATATGCTCTGTGGTGAGGAAAGTTGAAAGAGATGTCATCTACCTCTCAAGAGCAAAGCTTCTGAAGGTTCAAGAGGACTATATACGCCAACGAATTCCGGTTGTTCAGGATAACATAGATGAGGAGTACAAAACACGAGGTGGTTTCCGTGGTAGATTGGAATTATTGCAACAGGGCCCAGTTCAGACACTAAGTGTATACTATACTGCTGCGTCTTTAGAAGGTATGAAATTCCTGTGAAATAACACGTATAGCATGTGTTCCACTTTTTTTTTATAACATATGATGTAGTGTCTACTACATTAATTAGGTTCCATCTATGCTGAATCGATATATGATTACTCACGTTGCCAATCGCATTAATATCACTTTTGTTGACTGGTAACCATCTCTCTCCAAACGCCACAAACGTTTGTCCCAATATGTTGGTAAAACATGTTACGGATTTTCATTTGTTGGGATCAAATATGCATACTTTCTGATTGGCTATTGAGCTTTTTATTCTCCTCTATTAATCCAGGCGGAGTGAGTGCAAAAAGTGTGGAGTTTGAACACACCGTGGATGCTGCATTGGTTCTAAGATGTTCAGCCTGGCCGTCTCTTGCCATTTCGTGGGTTACACGTGCTCGCCAGTGGCCAACTAAGGACCTGGTTCTGCATATTCAACGCGACGGCTGTCACGTGGTTCCCAAGTCTTATCCCGGTGAGGGTGGAGATGATAATCTACAGTGGCGGCTCTCGTTTTCATTGGCTGAACGGACACTCGCGCATAGTTTCACAGAATGGCAACGTACGTTCTATTTAGTGATGAAAAAAATATGGCGTCGTTATTTGAAGGTACGTACTCTGTAATCTTAAATTTTCTTGTGTCTCGCCATATATATATATATATATCAGTTCTTTTTATTTAGATCATGGCAATTTTT